CCAGTGACTGGCAATATCTGAATTTCCTCTAATTTCAACCCGTTAAAGGTGCAGATGTGTAAATGAGGCCCAGAGGGGCAGGGACTTGCTCAAGGCCCAAGAGCTGTGACACACGCCTGTTTTAAGGGGTACTCCACACGATAGCCCACCCCTTCTTGTCATTCTTTCATCTCTAAGTGTGTGCATCAGACACAAGTGAAACCAGACACCAGGTGTTGTCACTACTGTCTCTTCTGTAGCTGAGGACGTCCTGAGGGAGCTATTTCTGGCCTCATCCCTATCGTGCAGGTTGAAGGATTGAGGAGGCCTTGCAAGGCACAATGGTGTTTCCAGGACACAGAGCTTCTAGGGAAAGAGAGGCGTGAACTCAGCTGAACTCAGCTTCCTCAAGCTGGAAACCTGGTTCCATCTCAAGGTCCTGTGTGGGGCTCTGTGCTGGCTATTTGTGTACAGTTCTGGTGATGACATGGGCAAGGAGGGTGAGTAGCCAAGATCCCAGAGGGGTTTTGGGTTGGTGTGATTGAAAGAAGAGGCCAGGGTAATGGAAGCTTGAGGAAGTGACCTCACTTCCTTGGTGACAGACCCTAACAGAACTTTGCACACTGGTCTCCAGGCACCCACATTCTAGACACAGCCTCCTATTGAGCTCACTTGAGTGGAGACACTCAAGAGAGCAGGATGCTCTGCTGTTGTCTCCCGACTTGTTGAGGCTGTGGCTTCAGGAAAGCCAAGAAACAGAGCCTTTTCAGTTGCTACACACATTGGCTTGGCCCTCACCTGCACCACCTCTGGCCATCTGGCAGGAGGAGCCCTCAGGTAACACAGGGCAGGCCAACCGCCTTAGGCCACAATGGGATCCCAACCCCACACCCCTCTGAGCCTCCTTGTGTGTCCGGGGGGAGTGGAGTGAGGGACGGCGGGGCAGAGGGGGCACTCATCCTAGGCAGGAGCCCTTTGCTGGGTGTTGGAAGCCTGGCAGTGCGTCGTGTTCCCAGCCTAGGTGTTGGCTAGCAGGATGGGAGAGTGGGTGCAGGGGACCAAGCTCCTCTATGCATATGTCAGTCCAGAGCCCTCCAGGGGTCATCTCATTCCCTCCCTGGCTGGAGTTCTACACAAACACTGCTGGGTACCTGATCCCTACTGGGGTTTCCTCCTGTGGCCAAGTCGAGGCAGGTGCCTGAGACATCCTGGCCCGGCTCTCGGGCACTGTCTTTGCAGAGCTGCACGCAGGAGGTGGTCAAAGAGCTGGCAGATGGCTTTGGGTACTCCATCTCCCTGGACAGGGGCCAACTGCACCGCACCATCATCAATAACCAGGGCTGCTCTGAGGTGAGAGTGGGCACGGAGGGGTCTTCCCACCCAGGCCCCTGAGATGACCAGGGCAGGCCCAGAATCCAACCTCAAACTGCCCATCTCCAGGGACCCTAACAGGGCTGTCCAACCTGAGTGTCCCACAGTCCCATTCCCAAAGGAATCTGGACTTCTGCTCCTCCCCACCAGCTGCATAGGAGGATAGGAGGGCACTCTTTGCATTTTCCTAGGAAGATTAGAGAAAACGTTGTCACTTCCCACTAGGCCCTGAGTATCTTTGAATTTTGCCTTTTTTGGAACATGCAACCTCGATAACGAGGGTCTCCAAACTCCCTTTAATGTAAGAGAAATACCATCAGCGTGTTTTGGAAGTCAAAGGGATTCTCAGAGTGTATCACTGCCTTGTACACTGTTTCCAGACTGGGGCGGGGTGGGGTGGCCACATAACATTTCCCTCCAGGTTGGGGCCCACTGAAGCCTCAGGCAGTTAGAGGGGCTGGCCTTCAGCCCTCACTTTGGGCGGCTCTCAGTTCTGACCCACAGGACCTAGAGAAGCTACCTGGCATACCTAAGCCTCTGTTCTCCTCTCTAGAGAGGGGGTGTCTGTTGAGGACTCACTGGGCTGGTGCTCTTCACAGAGGGAGGTCTGTTGTCCCTCAGCAAGCAAATGGCCTCGAGGGAGATCAATGTGGAATCCTTCACACGCCCAAAGTCACATTGTACTGTGAGAGCCCAGAACCTTGCTGAGTGTGGGAGCTCCTGTGTCTCCTGTTGCACATGTCTGGGAGGGTCTAGGAGTTCCTGGGTCAGCTGCAGACCTTGATAATCCTGGTGGTTTGAAGTGGTGGCCCTGACCCTGTGTCCTCCTCATCCCACCAAGAGTGAAGATGAGTCCACTCTGTCTGTCACTGAGGCCTGCAGGATGCGTGCCCTCCAGGCAGGCATGATGCAGAGGCTCTCAGAGTCTGTGCTGCCAGCCTTCCCCAGCAGAGTCCTCTGCAGTGTCACCACCTCCCTCTGCAGCTACTCAGGCTCCAGCACAGCCCACCAGGTGCTGGACCAGCTGTTTCCCAGGTGACTGCCTGCCTCCTCCTCAGCACAGTGGTGACTCTGCCCACTGCCAGCTGTGTGTCTTGCCTTGGGAATGTCACCACATCTCTCTGAGCCTCAGTTGGCTCCTCTGAAATGCGGGGTGAGAGAGGATGAACTTGCTAGGCTTCTCCCAGGGATGAATGGGATCAGCCATCCAGGTGCTGCCCTGGTGCCCGGCTCTGCAGAGAGGTTGGTGGGCCATGCTGTGGTTGCTGGTGGTGATTATTTCTCTGTCCCCCATGGAAAGTAGTCTTCACTTCACCTCTACCTTCACTGGCTTGTGGCTTTTTGAGTTTGGAAAAGCACCTGGAGAGCACACTGTCAAGGAGTTTGAGATGGCATCCAGCTGGTCCTGGTGCTTGTCCTTGGTGTAGCCACTTAGGGATCTCTAGGGCCACAGAGGGGCCACAGGCCCACTCAGACACCTGGGGTGGTTCTGCTTGGAGGTCATTCAACAATGTCTATGAAGGACCTACTCTGAGCAGGACTTCTGGACACACTGTCACTCAGCGAATGAAGCAGACAGCCTCCCTGGGCCTGCTCTCTATTCTGAGAGTCAGACAGTCCCACTTGACATCATTCACAGGTCCCATCTACCCTCCATCCCGGACGATGCCCTCATCCCCTTTGGGACACATGGAGGCAGCTTGGCCCATTGCGTGCGGGATGCTGGAGGACAGGACCACCTCCCAAAGTGAGTGGTCTTTGGGTGCAGACGGAGGGCCTCCTGTCTCTAGCAAACAGGCTGCGGGGAGAGGATGGAGGCTGTGGTCGGGTCAGGCCTGGGAGAACCCTGCATCTCACCCATCTTGTGATTCCCATGGGAGGGCTGAGTTCTGGTGGCTTTCACTCCAGCAGGACTGGACTCAAAGAGAGCTGTGCATGGGTCCCAGGCCCCTTGAGAATTGGAAGGGAGGCTGGGCTGCGTTGTCCCCTAGAGACCCACTCCCAGCAGAGTCCCATCTCCTCCTGCCTCCCTTTCTCCACATCCACACCTTGTGAGCACCACCGCCAGGTTCATAGTAGGAGGTGTGTGAGCAAGCTGCTCCCAAATCTGCTGGAGTCTTCATTCCAGTGGCCCACATACATAGAGGGCTTGAGTGGGCTGTATCCAGACCCTTGGGGAGGAGAGTGTCGGTGGGAACAAGAGACTCTCACAGACTCTGTGTTCAGCCTGCTGGATGAGCAGGCCTGCCACAGGCAGGACAGCCAGCCAGGGCTCAGGGCCGGGATGGGGCCCTCCTCTGGAGGGGGAGGGTCTGGCAAAGGGGCGCAGATGCTAACAAGAGTGCCTTGGGAGGCAGGTGTTTAAGGAAAGGCCAGGCCACTGACTCTCTGGCCCATCTGCCTCCCCGCAGTGCTATCTATTTCCTGCTGGGAACCTGGCTGGGCCAAGGGCTGGATTGCAGGGAGCGCCTGCGGTTTCCCTGTTGGACCCTGCAGCTGGCCACTCTGCACGTCAGCTTTGGTGGCTCCCACGTGGAGGGCCATGCCTACCTTCTGCCAGGCCACCTGGAGCATCTCAAGGCCATTGAGGCAGAACGGAAAGGTGAGGGGACTGCAGTCTGGGAAGACTGTCTGTGTTGAGGTTCACGGGCTAGCGTTCCCTTAGAGGCAGTGGAGTCCTTTCTATCTTTAGAAAGGCACAGAAACTGTCAGGTGTGTGCATGAAACATTCTCTTTGTCCTGCTCCAGAGCCAGCTCCAAAGCTCCTGCCACTTCCAGAGCTAGAGCCAATGCCAGCCCCCGGGCTGGAGCCAGCTGCACCTCCAGTCTCACCACGTGTGGTAGAGCTGGAGCCAGCAGCCCCTGAGTCAGCCACTCCAGGACCAGAGCAAGGGCCACCAGTAAAGGCAGCCCCAGAGCCCAGCTGCCCCTGGGCCGTGACCACCAGGACCAGCTGCGGGAGGAGAAGCCGAACATCTTGGACTTCCCTCCCCAGCTGGTGGCAGAGCAGCTGACGAGGATGGCTGCGGTGAGCAGAGGAGCTCACGGGGCGGTTGGCCCCTGCCTTCCCGGTGCCATGAGCCGCCCCACACCTGCCATTCCCTGCTCGGGATTCTGATGATCTGGGTCCAAATCCCTGCTCCCTCCCTTATCAACACTGTGACCTGGGCAGCTTTCTTTCTCCCCAAGCCTTCGCTGTCCCCTAGCGAACAGGGGACAGTAGAGATGGACACTCAGCACCTGCTGTATAGGGTGGCTGTGCCGATGAATGAGGTGGGAGAGAGTGGAAGGTGGGCAGAGTCTGGCCCTTTGGTGGGGGATGGGCACTCACTGAAGTGCTGCCAGGTCCTTGGGTGGATCCCCCATCTGCGCAGGTGTCCCGGACAGCCTCAGCACTTAGCAGGAAGGTGGTGTGTATTGACTCCAGTGGAGACAGTCAAACAAAGCTGGCGGTTGTCCCTGCCTCAGGGGAATGTGCATGGGAATGGGGAGTGGGACCCGAGGGGCACTGGGATGGGTGGATGATGGCCCTTCTGGTGGGCATGTGTGGGCTGCCTTCTGGAGCTTGGAGGAAGTGAGACAGGGCTGGGAGCAAATGTCCCCTCCCTTCCCCACAGTCCTGAGCCCGGGGTCATCCTGGACTGGGTGCATTCAGTGGACACAGACAAAACCCAGGGACTCCCTCAAGCCTCAGGCCACTTGCTCTGCTTCCTGAGCTCCAGTTCTGATCTCACCCTGCCTGGGCCTATGGGGGACTGTGGACGCTGAGCTGGGGTGCGGCAGGACCGGGTGACACTCCGAATCTTCTGCAGGAGCTGTTCAAGACGTTGGTGCCCGCCCACTGCCTCGGCTCCATCTGGTCTGAGCGTGACAACAGGGAACGCGAGTCCCTGGCACCCACCGTCCGTGACACTGTGATGCACGACAACACCGTGGCCAATTGCATCCTCGTCACCTGCCTTGGGGACGTGAGCATGACAGCGCAGGACAGGGCCAGGGTGGTTGAGCTGTGGATCAGGGTGGCTGAGGTAAGCCTTGGCACGCCCTGTCTGGATGCATGGGAATTGCCTCTTGTTTCTCAGCTCTCAGGATTGAAGTCTGGGGTCTTAGTCCCTGGACTGTCCCTTGACCCTCATGCCAGGGCCACGTTGACCTTGACTTGAGGTCCCAGTGGGGACAAGCTCAATTCCTTGTGAGCAGTGTTACTCATCGGGTGGCAGGTGTGCCCTCCCTGGCTTCCCTGGGCGTGTGTCTCCTCCAGGACAGGAGAAGTCCGTGAGGGGACAGAAACCAGAGGCAGCAGAGCTTCAGCCCCCCCTCACGGCTCCATCTCTTCGCTTCCCCAGGAGTGCCGAGGCCTCGGGAACTTCTGTTCCCTCCACACAATCCTTTCTGCCCTGCAGAGCCCTGCCATTGCCCGTCTCCAAGACACCTTGGGACAAGTTTCCAGGTGGGTAGTGGGTGGTCTGCTCTCCAGCCAAGCACCATGAGGGTGAGGTGGCCCAGGCAGCCTGATTTGGGCCGGCATGTCCCCCAAAGTCAGCTGAGACCACCTGGGAGACAGCGAACGCCGGGCACAGGGACTGACCTGGGTGCTGGGTCTCTGAGTCTCTCAGCGCCCTTAGGCCAGCAGTTCCATCCCAGGGATTCATTTCCTTCCAGACCAGATCCTGGCTTGAGCCCAGGTGGAGATTGTCAGGTGTTTCCTTTGCAGCAACAGAAGCCTCTATGCAGCTGAAACCAACACTGTTCCAAGGAGATCTGTTTGGGACATCTGGGAATGGAGGCCCCAAGGGACAAGAGGAGAGGCCCCTCCACAGTCCCATGGGGACCTTAGAGCTCAGAGCACCCCAGCGAAATCCCTCATGCAGGCCCCAGGCAGTTTGGATCTGCAGGGTTTTCAAACAAATGGGACTTGCCTTCAAGCATCCCACAGTTTTTCTTGCTTTCTTTCTTTCTTTCTTTCCCCACCCCGCAGGGAGAGTTCTCGAACCTGGAAGAAGTGGGTCAGGAGAGAGAAACGCGTGAGCAGGGAGCTGCTAGTGCAGGTAACCTGGAGGCTGGAGATCTGGAAGGAGGCCAGAAGGAGAGGGGAGGGAACATCCCGAGGGGATCCTAGGAGGTGAGGCTATGGCAAGGCTCGGCCCAGGCTGGGGGTCAGAGAGCCCCGTGAGGGTGGGGCAGGCCGGGGCCACTTGGCCAGGTCCCCCACGACACCCTGCCCTCCCCCTCCCTGTCTGTTCAGCTGGGGTCTGGACGCACCCCTGGAGTCCAGAGGTCGGGGCCTTGGTCAGATTTGGAGCCAGGGCTGGGGTGAAGGCAGAGGGGACAGGGCCTGTAGCTGGCATGGGGAGCAGCCTCTCCCAGTGGGTCCTTGAGCCAGTCACTGCCCCTCTGGGGGCCTCCGTCTCCTCCTCTGGGAAGTGGAGGGAAATGATCAGCGGTGCAGGCCTCCCAGTGGGGTGCTACCATCCAAGGGAGGACAGGAACGGGAGGAGATTTGTCCCGGCTCCTCCTTGAGAGGTGAGGGGAGAGCAGTGATGACACGCAGATGACTCTGAGTCCTCAGGAGACTCCTGGAAGCAGGTGACGTTCTCCTCACACTTTTCAGCTGAGGAAAGAGGGCCAGGGAGGCCTGGGCAGGCCCAAGGTCACACAGGACTGAGTCCTGGAGCTGGGACTGGTCTAGAATCAGAGCACCCTGCAGTTTGGAGCAGCAGAGGCAGCAGGGGACTGGAGCCGATGGCCAGGGTCTGAGATCAGGGGCCTTGGGGGGACATGCGGAGGGGAGTATGGGCACACTGACTCTGTCTTTGGCCCCAACAGGAGGCGACCTCCGTGTTAAAGACTGCAGAGAGGGCGTGCCAGGGAGCCCAGGAGAGGCAGCGGCAGCAGGTGAGGGTGACTGTGGGGGAGGGGCATAGGAGTCAGAGGAGAGGGGGCGCCTCCTCCCAGCTGGAGGCCTCCCTCAGGAGAGGGGCCTGCCTCTTCAGGCGAATCTGCTGTGGCTGCCAAGCATGACGGGCCTGCAGTGGCAGTGAGCAGGAGGAGGCCTGGAAGGGCTGGCAGCAGGGCAGATTTGGGGTGGGGAAGGGCAGGGGCCACTGCCCCTGGGAGGAGCCAACAGCCATCCCTGGGACTTGACTGATGGAGTTTGGTGTTCCTGGAGGGGAGCGGGGGAGGGAATTGTGTGTGTTGGGGTGTCCCGAGGATCCTAGACTGCTCTGTGTGGGAGCGTGGGGTGGGCAGGAGGCTGGGCTGAGGGGTTTCAGGGGAAGGTTCATGGGGGCACCTGAGAGCAGGAGCTCATCACCATGCCCATCCTGATGGCGGCACAGGATGTCGTCCCCTCCCTGGTGACATTCTTCTGTTCCCTGGAGCTGCTGGATGCTACGATGGAGGATTATGTGGAGGTGAGTGAGCCTGGAGGTGGGTCCGGGGGCTCAGGCTCCTGAGGGTGGGGAGGAGAGAGTCCTGTCCTGAGCCCTGAGCTCTCTGCATTTGGCAAATGTCCTCTCAACAGGGCCTCCAGCCTCGTGTGGGAGTTGGGGTGTCAGGCCCATCTCTCCAGTGGGTGATTCAGGCTCTGCATAAGCCACCGTCTAGGTTCCCTGGGCTGCTGAGGCTCAGAGCTGCCTGACTGTGTGGCCGCAGGAGGTGGTGTCTGAGCTGGACAGCCTCTCCCTCTGGCCCTGCCAGTGAGGGAAGAGAAGTCGGGCCCCTCCTAGTCAGGAAGCACATCAGTGGCTGAGCTGTCCCTTCCTGCCTGAGGCCTGAGTCTCCCCACGTGTCATCAGAGAGGGTTGGGTTACAAGGTCTCTTGCCTCAGTTGCTCTGTACCCCCTGCTCTGGAGCCCAGAGACTGGCCCAGGTCCAAGTCTGGGCTCTGGATGGGCCTGCCCACTGGCAGTAGTGCAGCATTGCAAGAGGTGTGGAAAGGGGCTAGTGCTGGTCAAGGGGGCTGTTTCTGATGGACTGTGGCTGTCTGCTTTCCAGGGCAATGTGCTCAACTGTCGGAAATGGAATGAGGTAAGCAGCTGCGGCCTCCCGGTGGAGAGGGTGGGGGTTGGAAATCAGAGACCCCCCCAGCAGTGGACAGGACCCCCTCTGGCCCAATCCCCAGGGTGGAACATTTATTTGCACAGTTCGATATACAGAGCTAGGGATCCTATGTCATTGGTGGGTGGGGGAAGGGCTGGCATCAAAGACTCCTTCCTGGAGGAGGAGCTATTTTGGGCCAAGTGTGAGAGCAGGCAAGTCCTGACTGGAATTGCAGGGAGGGAGGGTTCCCAAGTGGGCAAAGGCCCCAGATTGGTCCCTTGCCTCCTTCCTCACCCCCTCCATGAGCCCTGCAGGGACCCCACTCAGGCCCTGTGGGCATCCTGTGCTTGCTCTCTCCTAGCAATTCAAACTGATGGAGGAGATCGAGCTGCTCCAGGAGACTGCAAATCTGTACACCGTGCAGCCCAACGAGCACTTTGGGGCCTGGTTCCAGGCCGTGGAGCCCCTGAGCAAGGAGGAGAGGTGAGTCGGGTCAGGAGTTGGGGGAGGGCAGGGCAGACTCTCTCTGCTGACCAGCTCCAGAGCCCATGGCCATGGCTCCATGGTCACCCTCAGATCTGGTTGCATGGCGACCCCTGTGGTCCTTCGACTCCAGCCGCTGGCAGGCTCCAGGATGCACATGTGATGTGTGGCTCCTGAGAGCGCCCAGCTCTGCTCTGTCCTGTAGCTGCAGCCTGTCCTGCCAGCTGGAGCCCCGATACCACTGGGTCAGAAAGATTCGATTCTTCTTCAAACACAAGAAGAACCGCTCAGGGCAGAGTGAGTGTCTAGACCGGCAGTGGCTGAATCCATGGGCTCAGGAAACATTCAGGCTGAGCGTGGGCCTGGGGAGGCAGACAGCTAGCCCTGGGTTCCAGCTCCACTGCTGAGCAGTCCTGTCCTGGGCGGTTGCACTCACGTTCCTGGGATTGGTTTCCTCCTCTGTGAAACGGGTGACGCTAAAAATCAGCCCCTGTGTCAGGGACAGATGGGGTGCTGTTGGCTGACTGAGCACTAGGCACAGGGCTGGAGCACAGAGCGCAGTGGGGGCCGGGATGTGGTGTGCACTGTGGTTCCAGGGCAGGCCGCTCAGGAAATGCCTCTCTTTCTCCAGACACCAGACCCCCAACCAAGGGCCCAGTGGTGGTGGTCGATGACCCTCCTGAGACCAGCTGAGCTACAGCGGGGACACAGCGTTGACACTCAGGGTGCACAGGGCCACCTCCCCTGATTCTGATGAGGAGAACTTTGTGATCCATTTCTTGGGGTCCCCTGTTGGCCACGAGGGAAGGCACCAACCCCTCTTCTCCCTCCCCCCTTTTGCCCAGCACCGATTTCCCTATTTGGCGGGGCCATATTTTGTTGTCAATGGTAAATGCTCCGTTTGAGTATTATATTAAATTGTTGCTTCTTTCTAATCCTGGGAGTGGAGGTGTGAGTCTTTCGCTCGCAGCGCTCATGGAAACCAGATCCAGAAACTCACATTCCTCCTCGAATTTAGAAATCTCCCAGAGTGAGCAGCTCAGTTTATGTGGAGAAGGGAGAAGTGCCAGTCCCCTCCCTGGCTACTGAAGGACATGCCCAAGTCCCCCTCCCGCCAAGGAAAGGATCATTGCAGTGTGGTTCACCCTGTCCATGAGCAGAGATGGCCCCTCCGACCTCTTGGGACTAAGCGGTTGGAGGCATTATCTCAGCCAGAGCCACAACCACTAAGCTGGGCGTGTCTGTCAAACTAGCACGTGCCTGTCCCTAGCACACGTCCTGCCCAGGACAGTGGCTGCCTTTCAACACTCTGCTGGAAGAGGGAACATTTTCCCGGTTTCTCTTACACATAGATTAGGACCTTGTTTTCTGATTCAGTCTCCGGAATGGCTTCAGCTCTAAGTGGGGAAAATACCGTCAAAAGCTCAAAATGTGCACATAGAGAGGACGAGGCCAGAGGAAGGTCCTGTGGACATGGACCATGGGCAGGCAGGACTCTGCCTTCTTGGGCCCACTAGGGGCTCCCTGTTCACCTCTGACCTAGACTGGATCCCCCTGGGCTTCTGGTCCCTGACTCCGAATACCATTTTCTGCTTGTTGTCTATCCAAGGGGAAAGCTGTGGGATGCAGCTTTTAGGGCCTCAGCCAGGTCTCCCTCCAGAAACCTAGTGCTCCCAACAATCTGTTCCAGAAAATATCACCAGAGACAACACTTTCCAACTCATCTTGTGAGGCCAGCAGTACCCTAAAAGCAAAACTAGAGTTTAAAAGTAGGGAAAACTTGAGAACAACAAGTCTCAGAAATGAGCAGTTACTGTTTTCTACGAAATATTAGAAAACTGAAGCCAACAATGTAAAACAATCATACACCAGGACAAAGAGGAAATTTTTTCAGGTATGCAAGGTTGTATCAACATTCCAAAATTAAATCAATGTGATCCACCCTGTCATAGGCTAAAGGAGAAATTTATACATATACGTCAGTTGGTATGTGGGGGAAGTCATCAGATAGTACATATTAGATATGTCAGGTTCTTTCTCTATCAATTGCACCTCATTAAAGCTCTTACAAAAATGAACCTAGATATAGAATTTACACTTTCACAAACTTTTAGAAAATGGAACAGAGACCTAAATGTAATGGAAAACAATACAACTTCTGAAAAGATTATGCAACAAACTCTAAGTGGACTCGAATCTGGAATTATGTTATTAAGATACAAACTGAAAATATAATCTAGGAAAAATCCTGATGTTAGACTTTATTTATTATTTTGGTAAGGAAGGTTGACCCTGAGCTAACATCTGTGCCGATTTTCCTCTATTTGGCCTGTGGGATGCTGTCACAGCATGGCTTGACAAGCTGTGTGTAGGTCTACACCCAGGATCTGAACCTGTGAACCCCAGGCTGCCGAAGTGGAGTGCGTGAACTTCACCACTGTGCCAGCGGGCCAGCCCCAAGTTAGACTTTATTAAATTAAAAACTCCTGCTTTGTGGAAGGCAAAATCGATGAGTCAAAAGACAAATTACAGACTGGCAGATGATATTCGCAAAACAGATATATGATAAAGAAACTATGTCCAAGATATATGTAAAGAATTCTTAAAAGTCAACCATAACAAAAAAATAAACAACCCTATTGAAAAATGGGCAAAAGACCTGAATATATCCCTCACCAAAGAAGACATACAGATGGCAAACGAGCCTCTGGACAGATGACCACCGCCACAGGTCATTCGGGAAATTCATATAAAACCTCAATGAGATACTTCTACACACCTATTAGAACTGATAAATGCAGGAAACTGGAGCCCGGTTCCGGTGTATCTGACAGTTGGTTCCATGGTGTCTGGCAGGTGGTTCCTGTGTGTCTGGCATATGGTTCTGGTACATTCGAAAGGTGGTTCCGGCATGTCCAGCAGGTTGCAACAGTGTGTCTGGGACCTGATTCCATCCTGTCCGGTTGATGCTTTCAGAGTGTCCTGGCTTTGTTTCCTGCCTGTCTTGCAATTAGTTCCCGCATGTCCAGTGGGTGATTCTGGCATGTCTGGCAGATTTTCTAGCCTTTTCCAGAAATTGGTACCGGCGTATCCAGGACCTGGTTCCGGTGTATCCGGCAGGTGATTTCGGTGTGTCCGGCAGGTTGTTCTGGCGTGTTAGGATGGTGGTTCCAGCTTGTGTGGCAGGTGTTTGTGGCGTGTCCGGGACCTGGTTCTGGCATATTTGGGAGGTGGTTTCAGTGTATCTGGTACTTGGTTCCTGGATATCCAACAGGTGGTTCCGAAGTGTGTGGCAGGTGGTTCCTGTGTGTCTGGCATGTGGTTCTGGTAGGTTCAGAAGATGGTTCCGGCCTGTCCGTTAGGTGCTTCCAGGGTGTCAGGAAGTTGGTTCTGGCGTGTCAGACTCATGTTTCCAGTGTGTCCGGTGGGTGCTTCCGGTTAGTCTGGTGGGTCGTTATGGGATGTCTGTGTGGTGGTTCCAGAGTGTACGGCGGGTGCTTTTGGCATGCCTGTCGGGTTTTTCCAGCATCTAAGGTGCCTGGTTCGAGCATATCCAGCAGGTTAGTTCTTTCTCAGCTTCCTAAAGAGCTGGAAGCAAGACAGTTTGTGGCTTGTCTCCTCTTGAGGGATGGAGGCAGTGCTTTTTGCTGTCCACCTCTCGAGCAATATAGGGCACGGCTGAGAGCAAAGGGGCTTTTCTTCCATAGGTGCTTTCTGACTCTCTCTCCTCCAGTGCACAAGGGCGGTTGGTTAAAAGCCTATTGTCTCTCTCCTCCTAAGCATGTGGAAGCACAATCATTCAGGCCTCAGCCTCCTTGCTTAAGGAGAAGATGTAGGCATTTTGTCTGAGCCGGGTTGGCAAGATGGAAATGCCCCAAAAGCAGAAGTTCTAAAGCAATGAGTTAAGGGCTCCAAATAAACAGCATTTCAGGTGCCTTTGTATGAGATGTTCAAGGTACACTATAAGAACAGTGTGGAAAGTGAGTTCTTTCTCAGCTTCCTAAAGAGCTGGAAGCAAGATGGATTATTGCTCATCTCCCCTTGAGGGTTGGAGGCAGTGTTTTGTGCCTTGCAGTTTTAGGGCAATGTAGGACTCCGCTGAGCAAACTTGGCCTTGCTTTCTGAACACTCTCTCCACCCATGCACAAGGGCAGCATGAGAGGTTGCCGGTATGCTGTAAGAGCACTGTGGAAAGCGAGTTTTTTCTTAACTTGCAAAGAGTGGTTGGTTAAAATCCTATTGTCTCTCTCCTCCTAAGCATGTGGAAGGACAATCATTCATGCCTCACCCAAATGATTCGGGTGGGTCTTGTGTGACGCACCTGCCTTAAATGCTGGAACCAACTGCTGGACACTTCAGAAGCATCATCTGGAAAGGGTGGAACCACCCACTGCAGATGTGAGAATCAGGTCCAAAATGTGCCAGAGCACCTGCAGGACACACCAGAACCATCTGACTCAAATGCCAAAATCTCCTGCCGGATACACAAGAACCACTTGATGGACACTCCAGAATCACATGACGGGCATGAAAGAACCATCTCTCAGAGTGCCAGAACCATGTGCTGGAAACGCCGGAACCACATCACTGACAGACATGAACCACCTGCTGGACACGCCTGAACCACCTGCTTCACTCGCCAGAACCACCTTCTGGACAAGCCAAAATCACCTGCCGGATACACTGGAACCAGGCCCCTTAGAAGCCGGAAAAAGCCAACAGACATGCCAGAAGCACCTGCCGCACACTCTGAAACCATGATACAGACATGCCTGAATGACCCGCCATACACACCAGAAGCACCCACCAGACACGCCAGAACCACCTGGAACCACCCTCCAGACACACTGGAACCATGACACTGACACGCCAGAACCACCTTGCAGACATGCCTGAAGCACCCAAAGGACATGCTGGAACCATCTTCCGAACATACCAGAACCACATGCCAGACACACAGGAACCACCTGCCACACACTTCGCAACCACCTGTTGGATATGCCGAGACCACGTGCCAGATACACTGAAACCACCTCCCAAATACACCAGAACCAGGTGCTGGCCATGCCACAAACACCTGCCAGACAAGCCAGAACCACCAGCCTAACACGCCAGCACAACCTGCCGGACATGCCAAAATCACCTGCCGGATAAACTGGAACCAGGTCCTGGATATGCCAGAACTAATTTCCAGAAAAGGCCAGAACAACCTGCCACGCAGCCTGGAATCCCCTGCCAGGCATGCGGGAACCAACTGTCAAACATGCCAGAACCAACACCTGGACACACTGAATGCACCAACCACACACGAAGGAATCAGGGTCCGGACACATGGTAGCCACCAGCCGGACACGCCAGAACCACCTTCAGAACATACTGGAACCTCCTGCCAGACACACAGGAACTACCTGCCAGACACCACGGAACCAATGGTCAGATACGATGGAACCAGGCACCCAGTACGCTGAAGCCACCTGCTGAACACGCCCAAACGCTGTGCTGGACATACCAGATCCATATGATGGATACACCAGAAACAGGTCCAGCACAGGCCAAAACCAGGTTCCAGAAACACCTGAAACAGCTGCCGGACACACCTGAACCACCTGTTAGACCAGCCTGAACCACTAGATGGAGAATCCTGAACCACATGCCAGGCACACAGGAACCAGGTGCCGCACATGCCAGAACCACCTTCTGGACACGTCTGAACCACCTACAAGTCTTGTGAGAACCACCTGCCGGATACAGTAGATACAGGTGTTGCATACACCGAAACCAGGTGATGGACATGACTGACCACCTGCAAGACATGCCAGAACCAGGTGCCAGACACACTGGAACCACCTGCCAGATACCTCAAAATCCCCTGCTGGATACGACGGAACCTTGTGACACAAACGTCGGAATCATCTACCAGACATGCCAGGACCAC